ACTGCGAGTCTTCTTTGTTTGTGGTAGAAGGGACCTTTGAGCTGCGCATGAGACAGGATTGTTGATTGCCCCACTGCACTGCTTGATGCTCAAGGTGATCATTCCCGAACTCCACAGCTCCCGCATTGTGAAGCCATGTCGGTGCAGTTTCAGTCCCAGAACTTTCAGCACATCTTGCGCATCTTGGGCCAAACCGCTTTTGTGGAACTGCTTTCACAAGCTATTTCAGTATTCACATGCTCAGCTCAGGTATGTGCAACACCAACGTGGATGGCCGCCAGAAGGTCATGTTTGCACTTACAGCCATCCGTGGTATTGGTCGACGAATCTCAAACATCGTATCTCAGCAGACAGGGAACCTGTTTCATTCTTTTTGTAATTCGCTCTTCTTGAGGTTGCCCTTTTTGTTGGGGTCAGACAAAAAATTGGACCGCGTCAGAGGTGTGCAAGAAGTGCGACATTGACTTGAACAAGCGTGCGGGAGAGCTCACCACCGATGAGGTGAACAAGATTGTGGCAGTTGTAAGCAAACCCTTGGAGTTCAAGATCCCAGCATGGATGCTGAACAGGCAGCGTGACGTCAAGGATGGCAAGATGTCCCAGAAGTATGCCAACTTCCTGGATCAGGCCCTCCGAGAGGAGCCTTGTCCATGCTAATGCTTGCAATGCCAATACTTTTGTACACTCTATAGATTTGTGCCTTTCTGGCACACGTTCTTTGACATTGAGTGTTTGCACACTGTGTTGCAAATCTGAAGCTTTCCATTGTGCCACTGTCCAAGGACATTGAGCGAATGAAGCGCGTCCGCCTTCACAGGGGTCTTCGTCACTACTGGGGCATCCGTGTTCGTGGTCAGCACACGAAGACCACCGGCCGTCATCGTGCTTTCGCTGCCATGGAGGCTTCCAAGGGCAAAAAGTGGCTTGCTTACTTGCATAGGAGTTTTTTTTGCATCACAATGTTCGAGGCTTGCATGAACAAGATTGATGCAGGCAGTCATGTTTGTTGAGGTTTGATTCGTTTCTAGTGTCGGAGAGTTCAAACAGGAGTGAGTCACGTTGCTGATTCTTTGCACTGGCTTCCTAAAGTGCAGAGTTTACTTACTTGTTTTCAACCATTTCTAGTAGGATTAGTAGGTTATTTTTTGGCTTGGTGCTAGTTCTGAGAGTCCTGATTGGAAGATACACCGGTTACCCTCCAATGCATGCGACTCAGGTAAATCAATCGCGGAACATTGCGGGGAGCGTGGAATGGGAAAAAGTCATTGACCTGCAATGCTCGTCTCGGTCTTCTTGCCGTCAGATTTCCGTTCGAATGACATTAATTTTTCATGATTCCTGTACAGTAGTGTAACACCAGAGATTTGTTCTGACAGACCTTTTAAGAGAGATGAGAGAGAGAGAGAGAGTGAGAGAGCGCGAGATCAATCATAATTGTGCTGTTTTATGGAACAGCATCTGAGTCTGGTGTGCAACTGTTGCTAGACAGGAGACCTTTTCGGTTGTTTCTAGTGACATTCATTGTCAAAGTGAAGCAGTGATGTTGATGAGTCGATGAGTGTATGTTTAAACTTAGAACAGCTCGGCCTTCTCCTGCTTGAAACAGCCATAAGGAGGACTCTGCGGTTGCTCATTTGTTACTAGGTATGCTGAATGATATTGGTGCAGCACTGCGAGTCTTCTTTGTTTGTGGTAGAAGGGACCTTTGAGCTGCGCATGAGACAGGATTGTTGATTGCCCCACTGCACTGCTTGATGCTCAAGGTGATCATTCCCGAACTCCACAGCTCCCGCATTGTGAAGCCATGTCGGTGCAGTTTCAGTCCCAGAACTTTCAGCACATCTTGCGCATCTTGGGCCAAACCGCTTTTGTGGAACTGCTTTCACAAGCTATTTCAGTATTCACATGCTCAGCTCAGGTATGTGCAACACCAACGTGGATGGCCGCCAGAAGGTCATGTTTGCACTTACAGCCATCCGTGGTATTGGTCGACGAATCTCAAACATCGTATCT